TTGCATATCTGCTGACTCCTGTGTGGGGGCACTGAGGCCAGAGCAGATCCCTGCAGCATCCAGGTCTCCCCCCAGCCCAGCATGCCTGCATGGAAGAGAGCCTTGATTTCTACCTAATAATCACTTATTCAGAGAACATGTTGCGTGAAATCTTGGCTCCAGTGAAATCAGTGACAAATCTCCCATTGACTTTAATTGGGCCAGGATTTCACCCATTGTGTCAGCAAACACCTGTGAGAGTGAAAAATGCTCAGTCAAAAATGTAAGCAAAGAAGCAACTTTTAAAAGGTCACAATTAGTTACTTTTCTACCATGGGGGTGTTTAATAATGAAAATTGGGAGTGAGGCCATATTAGCCCTAATTATAGCTCATTAATATTTATAGAGCTTAATCTTTTCTAACCTGGCTAATTTTTGTTGCCATATGATGCGTCTGTGCTGCTGACCTATTCCTTCCAACTCACCTGTGTCTGTTCACATTATAGGGTTTTGATCAGCCATCACTCTTGTTTTGAAATGCAAGGGGTGGGAATGCAGCACCGAGAGGAAACCCAAAGAAGTGAGAACACACTGTCTAAAGAAAAACCAAGAGAGTTTATGAAAATTAGTCACCAGCTGTCCCCTTAGGAATCAACTGGGACAACCCAACTCCATTTTCACTGGTGACCTCAGCTAGATTGGACATGTCATGTCCAGAGGTAACAGGCTAGTGTGCCAGCACTCTCTGCCACCTCACCCTTTTTGTTGTTTGTTTCGAACAACTATATTAAATGTACTAGAACTGGAGGGAAGAGAGATAAGGTACACATGACAGGTTTCAGAGTTCCATATGGTTGCTGATACAGAGTTAAAACTGAAGTCCCTTTCCTTAACTTTTTCAAGTCCCCTCTTCAAATACCTATCTTTCAAGAGACCTAGAAACCCTAGTCCTCCTTCCAGAGAATTGCTAACAAGTTAGAGGACTGAAAATCCAAAAACAAAAACTGAAGTAGTAATACAACGAATGCTAAACTCCACTCTTCAGTCACACTGTACATGGACCACTTAGTTTGTGCGCTCTCTAGGACAGAGAGCTTGTATTTAAACAAGCCTGAAAAGCACTTAGCAAATCATGAATGGTATATAAATAAAAACCAAGAAAGAACAGCTAATATTCACAGCAGAGGGTGGGAAGCCCTGTGGTAGTCTTGAGTTGGTCACGTTGAAGGCTAATAGCATATTGGGCTGTATAAATAGGAGCACTGCAAGCAGATCGAGGGAAGTGATTATTCCCCTCTATTCGGCACTGGTGAGGCCACACCTGGAGTATTAAGCCCAGTTTTGGGCCCCCCACTACAGAAAGGATGTGGACAAATTGCAGAGTCCAGTGGAGGGCAACGAAGATGATCAGGGGGCTGGGCAACATGACTTATGAGGAGAGGCTGAGGGAACTGGGCTTGTTTAGTCTGCAGAAGAGAAAAGAGTGAGGGGGGATTTGATAACAGCCTTCAACTACCTGAAGGGGGGTCCAAAGAGGATGGAGCTCAGTGGTGGCAGATGACAGAACAAGGAGCAATGGTCTCAAGTTGCAGTGGGGGGAGGCCTAGGTTGGATATTAGGAAACACTATTTCACTAGGAAGGTGGTGAAGCACTGGAATGGGTTACCTAGGGAGGTGGTGGAATCTCCATCCTTAGAGGTTTTTAAGGACCGGCTAGACAAAGCCCTGGCAGGGATGATTTAGTTGGTGTTGGTCCTGCTTTGAGCAGGGGGTTGGACTAGATGACCTCCTGAGGTCTCTTCCAACCCTAATCTTCTATGATTCTAATATTTTATGTTTCCTGACTGGTTGTTAGCACTCATATTCCTGAACCTGTTATACAGTCAAAGAAATACATCTGTATTACAGGATGCTTCCAACATATTAATCAGTGCTAAGTTGAAAGGTAGATCTGTACCTCCTCTGGCTGGCTCATGAACTTCCCAGGGAAGTGGGAGAAAAGAATAGAGAAGGACTGCAAAATGAAAGCTATTACAATAGCTCAGAAAATGGATCCAACCAGTATTTGTTTTTCCACCACTGGATTTCTATATATTTATAGTTTTTCCTTTTGAATTGGCTTTCATACTGGGGAAAAAATGATCTTCTCTCCTATCAGTTTTATGTAAGAATAAATGACTTCTCTTTTACGATAACAGGTTGCTATTTAATATGCATAGTGGCATCACCAGCAATCATGCTGTTAGCTGAAGGTCTATAGAGAAATAATATTTTCTCTAAAAGCTTGTTCTTTGCCTGACACAGCACATGGATGAATGAGCCGTTGTTAAGTTGAATTCTTTACTTGTTACTAAGCAGCTATCCCAGTAATGCATGCTAAGATAAGGGGGATCAGATCTCATACTTCAGGGTGAAAGCTAATCACTAGACACATGATGAACATGTTTTCCTTCCTCTGATGCATCACGTATTGGCCACTGCTAAAGGATACCATTGCCCCTTTTCAACTTGAGGAGTGAGTCAGATTTTGGGGCCCTGTGGATGTTCCAGTTGAGAGGCAAAATTATTGATAGGTATTTCTTTGATGCACCTTTGTTTATTTACAAAGACATGCAGTCCTGTGTCTCTGCATTCCGAGATAACCAAGAACAAAGGGAGATGCATTTCAGCTTTTAGCTCGAAGCCTCTTTAGCCAACAGACCCAAAGCCCTCTAACTTTTTCCAAGGTCATACTGGGCTTACAGACTCCTGCTTGGAGTTTTTGCTTTGCCTCTTATCAGAGGGGAAGCCATGTTAGTCTGGATCTGTAAAAGCAGCAAAGAGTCCTGTGGCACCTTATAGACTAGCAGAAGTATTGGAGCATAAGCTTTTGTGGGTGAATACCCACTTCATTGGATGCTCTGCCTCTCTGTTCTTATCTGTTCAGTTTCTGTGCATTCTCTCACACACCAACACACAACCCCTACCCAAAACACAATACTGAGCCCAAAGCTCCTATGTTTCATGCACATCTTTTGTCTTAGGTGGGGGCTTATGCTTAGTTATGTTAATTGAAGGGTGAGTTCACATCTCGCAATCTCCTTGGGGATTTAAGTTAACCCATAACAAGTTTCTCCCAACTCCTATCAATGCCATATTGGTTTAATGCAATATAGCAAATCCAACTCTCCTCTGTTCCTAATAATGGGATTTTCTTCACTCTAATAATATGCCCTACTCCTTCCTTATGTTTATTATTTGGATTTTGAACTGGACTCTTTGGTATGTATCATTCATTAAGCAAAGAAATGAAATGACTTTGGATCACCTTTGTTTAAGGGTGAGTAACAATTGAGTTACTTGTTGCCATTTGCCCATGGTTTGCATCCAGTCAACATCTAGCAGCCTCTACCTTGTGAAGCTGAAGTTTCCCCACTTAAATCATGTTGCTTCAGAACAGAGCTGGGTGAATCCTATAAACGTCATTTCTGTGACTGTTCATCTGAATTTTTTTTAATGGCTATGCTTCAACGATGTTCCTGCCCCTTTCGTGTTTGCTTTCCACAAATGTCCTAGTAAATGAGTTTGCTGGTAGGAATAGTTACCAAGAGTGATTTTCATGTGACTATGAAGAAAAAAACTGAATTTATAATCAAAAGTACATGCACCAGAAAAACCAATTCCAAGCGTTACATTTCTGTTCCCTAACTGACAGAGTGTATCATGTGATCTACAGTGAAACAGCTTGAATATCAAATACTCCCAAGGTACTGCTTGCAAATTGCTAAAATAGAGAGTTATTCTCTAAAATTACTTAGCAAGTAATTAGGGCCCTACCAAATTCACTGTCCATTTTGGTCAATTTCACAGTCATAAGATTTTAAAAATTGTAAGTTTCATGATTTCATCTATTTAAATCTGAAATTTCACAGTGTTGTAATTGTAGGGATCCTGACCCTAAAAGGACATGTGTGGTGGTCACAAGGTTATTGTAGGGGTGTGTGATAGGGTGCTGGCTAAGGAAATCTGAGCCAGGTCTCTGTCACATCAGCGCCAATCAAGAAAGGGGAATTGGAGCTGGCTGAGTAAGCCCAAGCCGGATTGACAAACGGGGAGCAACTGCTGGCCTCGTTAGTGAGGGGCTACATAAAGGCTGGCAGGAAAGAAGCTGGGGGGAGAAGAACAGGGAGGCGGTAGAGAATTAGAGGGAGTACTTCTCTGCTGGCTCCAGGAGCTAGCAGTCTCTGAGGCTGTAATACTGAAGCTGTTTCTAGTTAGAAGGTGGTGGGAAAGTATACTGTAAATAAAGAGCATGGGTGATTGCACCAACACAGAGGTCTCTGGCTGGTCTGTGGGTACAGCAGGGGCCCAGTGACACCCTGTTACAGGGAGGTTGTACTACTGCTACTCTTACTTCTGTGTTGCTGCTGATGGTGGCGCTGCCTTCAGAGCTGGAGAGCAGAGGCTGCTGGCCGGGAGCCCAGCTCTGAAGGCAGAACTGCTGCCAGCAGCAGCACCAAAGTAAGGATGGCATAGTATGGTATGGTCAGCCTTACTTCTGCACTGCTCCCTCCGGAGCTGGGCCCTTGATCAGCAGCCGCTGCTTTCCGGCTGCCCAGCTCTGAAGGCAGCAGCGCAGAAGTAAGGGTGGCATGGTATGGCATTGCCACCCTTACTTTGGCACTGCTGCTGGTGGGGTGCTGCCTTCAGAGCTGGCCACTCTCTGGCCACCACTTTGAGAAATGCTGGTCTCCCCCATGAAATCTGTATAGTATAGGGCAGTGGTTCTCAGACTGTGGGTCAGAACCCCAAAGTGGGCCATGACCTCATTTTAATGGGGTCACCAAGGTTGGCTTAGACTTGCTGGGGCCTAGGGCCAAAGCCTGAGGGCTTCAGCTCTGGGGAGCAGGGTTCAGGTTACAGGCCCCCTGCCTGGGGCTGAAGCCCTTGTGCTTGGGCTCACCCACCTGGGGTGGTGGGGCTCGGGCAGCCTCAGGTTTCATTGCCCCCGCCTTGGGTTCATGTAGTAATTTTTGTTGTCAGAAGGCGGTTGCAGTGCAATGAAGTTTGAGAACCCCTGGTATAGGGTAAGAGCACACAAAAGACCAGATTTCACTGTCCATGAGGCTTTTTTCATAGCCGTGAATTTGGTAGAGTCCTACAAATAATTCTCAACACATGAATCTGAGAAAATTGTGATCTGTTCACATATAAGCCATGAACAGGAAGAGAAGCAAAATCAAATACAATATTTGCTACGTGAATAAGTCATAGGAGTACTCAGAAAATAACCAAGAAAGATGCAAAACAATTGGTCTTGGAGAAATTCACCCGTTTAGATGGATTTCTTAGGTTAGGTAGCTTCTTATAGGGAAACCTGGAAGAAAAAAAAACAAAAACACAAAACACCAGAATAGCTACTTCCTGTTGCTCACTGAAAAATTAAACATATTCAGACAACATCCTTGGTTTGAATTTTGGAGTGAAGGAGTAGCAAAGAGTCTCTGATAAACAATAATGATCTCAAATCTTAACTCTATTAATCCAGGCAAAGGGTATGTCATAGTCTAAGCCAGGGGTGGGCAAACTTTTTGGCTGGAGGGCCACATCGGGGTTCCAAAACTGTATGGAGGGCTGGGTAGGGAAGGCTGTGCCCCCCTACCCTACCCACCCCCTCCCACCTGACTGCCCCCCTCAAAATCCCTGACCCACCCAACCTCCCTTCTCCTTGTCCCCTGACCACCCCCTCCTAGTACCCCCTGCCCCAATGGCCCCCCGGGACCCCACCCCCTATCCAACCCCCCCTGCTCCCTGACCTCCCCGATCCCTATCCACACCCCCGCCCCCTGACAGGCCCCCCTCTAAAGCCCCTTTCAGAATGCAGCCTTGCGAACATGGGCGGAGGACTCAGGAGGAGCAGCAGCAGCCGGAGAGACGTGGCTGTTTCCCCTTCAAAGTGGTGCTTCTCTCTGGCCAGCTGCGTGGCTGCCCGGTGCTCTTCCCGAGTCCTCCGCCCTCATTCGCTGTGCTTTCGCCACCCGCACCGCCCGCCTGCTCCCCTGTGGCTTCAGGGGGGCCTTCCTCCCTGCTCTCCCCTGCCCCCGCAGTGCAGCCCCCTCCCACACTGGCGGAACCGCGAGCTGAGGCTGCGGGGAGGGGCTGGGGGCTGGTCTCCTGACCGGGAGCTCAAGGGCCGGGCAGGACGGTCCTGCGGGCCGTAGTTTGCCCACCTCTGGTCTAAGGTATACTGAGGCACTGGATGGCAAGTGACTAAGGACATAATCCAAACACTGTTGCCCAAAATTTCTGAAGAGATGCCCAAGACGACATGTACGGTGGGTTTTTTTCCTAGCACACTTAAGCAGTATTCTTGTGCTTCTTCATTTGTTCTCTTGTTGAGCCATGAACTAAATTTCCCTTCTCTTGTACCTCTGCTTGAAGTTAGATCACAGCACCCCACTAAAAGATTGTGTTCACTGGTTCTCTTTCAAACCTCCATTCAAAAGCCTCTGCATGAAAGGCAGAGCGCATCCCCCAGGGCAACTAAGTCTGCCATCTGGTAGGCTTGTTTTTTATAGAGTCATTTGGAAGATATTAAATCTTCTTTTGTGTGCAGTGAATTAGGTGGTAGAGGGACTTAAAGTTCTATTGAAGAAGGAAAAAAAGACTTTGTGTCCAGAGTACAAATTATAGAGGCATTAGTGGAAAGACAAAAGGCAAGCAAGCATCAGTCCCTTTGAAAGCTGTAAATCACAAATGCCTCGGGTTGTTGGTTAAGTTCATAGTTTGCTGGGTAATCATTGTCCTGCGTTAGAACCTAAGCTTCCAAATAGTTTCTTTTGAAACTAAATCATTCAAAATGAGCAGCCAGAAAGTCCTAATGGTGTCAAAGGGGAATCATGGAGAAAATAACTTAAAGAAAACCTTTAAGCGAGCCCATATATTCTATTTATGATGCTAAATTGTTTATCATTAGAAAATTAGAATTGTTTCAGGCTGTTCTCTTTGGCCACTGAACACGATGCTGAGGATAGTTGGTTTCCTCAGGGGGAAAAAAGCCTCTTCATAACTTACCTCGTCACTTGCAGTAACTCCATGGACTGACGCTGAAGAGGTTTCCAAGTCAACAGCCATTCCAACAGATGCCAGCAGCTATGTTCTTGGTGTGGTGCCCCTCCAGTTACAAAGAAATGATTGGAAGCTTCTCGCAGGTTGTTCCAGAGGCCAAAACCAGGAGGCCCAACTAGAGAAAGAACATTTGGCAAGTTTGTTACAGGAAGTTCAGAAAACTTTGGCAGGGTCTCAGTTTTGAGCAAGTGGCACATCACAATCCACCCATACTATTAATATATAGCAAAGACCTAGACAAGGTGCCTCTTCATGCAAGAGTTCTCATAATATGCACTAGGGAAGTAGTCTCATTGATTCTCCAGTGACTTAGGGTGATATAGTAGCACTCCTGGGTGCTATTTTGAGTGGCCTACCAGCCTGAAACTGCAAAGTTATTCAAGTTTATAAGCATGGGTGGCTCAGTTACTTACACAGGACTGTATACAGCTCGTAACCTCTGCATCATGAGAGGGAAAGTCTCCAAAAAGGAAGGTCTGATTACCCCATGGCAATCATATTGTAGTCCCACAGTTGTTGCAGGACAACATCTTAGTAAAGATACAAGAGGCCTCACAAAATGCTGGGAGTGAGCCTGACAGTTGGTCTGCTGGCTCAGCATAGGGCAGAGCTTAAAATGCAAGAGGGAATCAGGCAAGTCATGCAAAACGACCAGAAAAAGTAAACACAAAGAACCTCTCAGACCCACAGCATTAGTGGATAGAACAGCACTAGAATTAGCAGCAGTACAGCACTCTGAAGAAAAAGGCCATATCTATCTGGCAGTCATGGACTATTTTTTCTAGACCACCTGATTCTCACCAGATCCATGTCAACAGGTCAGAGAAATGTTTAAAGCCACTGTTTTGCCCTTTGGCATTCTAAAGAGGAATAGTCACTGACGGTGAGCTACCATTGGCCAGCTCTGAATTCTAAGCTCTTGGGATACACAGTAGGACTTTAAACATATTGCCTCCAGCCCCTACCACTTACAGAGAATGGACAGTATCAATTGCTAAGAGAAGTCTACAACACGGAGATTCCATATTAGCTCTGCTGAGCTATCGGGCAGTGCCCACATCAGTCACAAGATTAGGCCCAACTCAGCTGCTTGAGGGCCAACAGATCAAATTGGCCATAGTTATAGAATGTGGCTTGAGAGATGCCAGATCTAAGAAGTCTCAGGCTTTCTTCCCTTAATCATCAGAATGCAGCCCAAAATTTATCCAGGGTTAACCCAGGAGACCTATTTCTGATAAGGCTAAATGAAGAAACATATGGGAAATCCCCAGCTTTTGTCACTGCACTGTTGATTTGTTAATGACTCCAATCTGCGGATGTGATTGCAGAACCATTGGCCATTATTTTTGAAAACTCATGGCGATTGGGGGAGGTCCCAGATGACTGCAAAAAGGCTAATGTAGTGCCGTCTTTAAAAAAGGGAAGAAGGTGGATCCTGGGAACTACAGGCCCGTCAGCCTCACCTCAGTCCTGGGAAAAATCATGGAGCAGGTCCTCAAGGAATCAATTCTGAAGCACTTAGAGGAGAGGAAAGTGATCAGAAACAGTCAGCATGGATTCACCAAGAGCAAGTCATGCCTGACTAATCTAATTGCCTTCTATGACAAGATAACTGGCTCTGTGGATGAAGGGAAAGCAGTGGACATGTTGTTACTTGACTTTAGCAAAGCTTTTGACACGGTCTCCCATAGTATTCTTGCCAGCAAGTTAAAGTATGGGCTGGATGAATGGACTATAAGGTGGATAGAAAGCTGGCTAGATTGTCGGGCTCAATGGGTACTGATCAATGGCTCCATGTCTAGTTGGCAGCCGGTATCGAGTGGAGTGCCCCAGAGGTCGGTCCTGGGGCCGGTTTTGTTCAATATCTTCATAAATGATCTGAAGGATGGTGTGGATTGCACCCTCAGAAAGTTTGCAGATGACACTAAACTGGGAGGAGTGGTAGATACGCTGGAGGGTAGGGATAGGATACAGAGGGACCTAGACAAATTAGAGGATTGGGCCAAAAGAAATCCGATGAGGTTCAACAAGGACAAGTGCAGAGTCCTGCACTTAGGACAGAAGAATCCAATGCACCTCTACAGACTAGGGACCGAATGGCTCGGCAGCAGTTCTGCAGAAAAGGACCTAGGGGTTACAGTGGACGAGAAGCTGGATATGAGTCAACAGCGTGCCCTTGTTGCCAAGAAGGCCAATGGCATTTTGGGATGTATAAGTAGGGGCATTGCCAGCAGATCAAGGGACGTGATCCTTCCCCTCTATTCGACATTGTTGAGGCCTCATCTGGAGTACTGTATCCAGTTTTGGGCCCCACGCTACAAGAAGGATGTGGAAAAATTGGAAAACATCCAGCGGAGGGCAACAAAAATGATTAGGGGACTGGAACACATGAGTTATGAGGAGAGGGTGAGGGAACTGGGGATGTTTAGTCTTCAGAAGAGAAGAATGAGGGGGGATTTGATAGCTGCTTTCAACTACCTGAAAGGGGCTTCCAAAGAGGATGGATCTAGACTGTTCTCAGTGGTAGCAGATGACAGAACAAGGAGTAATGGTCTCAAGTTGCAGTGGGGGAGATTTAGGTTGGATATTAGGGAAAACTTTCTCACTATGAGGATGGTGAAACACTGGAATGCGTTACCTAGGGAGGTGGTGGAATCTCCTTCCCTAGAAGTTTAAGGTCAGGCTTGACAAAGCACTGGCTGGGATGATTTAGTCGGGGATCGGTCCTGCTTTGAGCAGGGGGTTGGACTAGATGACCTCCTGAGGTCCCTTCCAACCCTGATATTCTATGATTCTATGAACAGAGGATTGAAAAAATGGAAAAACCCCAAGGGTAGGATGGGGAGAGACAAAGCTGTTAGAATCTGCTGTTAATAGGGAGACTCTCTCTAGCAAGGAGGGATCAGAGCAGAACCAGAAGAGAAGGTTGTGAAGGAGGGGTGAGGAAACTGAGACAGGGTATTCCATACAGGCATGTAGGAGTGTGCAGTCATCCATTCGCATCAGTCTCTGAGGGAGACCACACCCCTTAACTGTCAGGCCCCTGTTCAGGCAAGGGTTACTGGGGAATTAGCGATCTCAGAAGTGCTGGCTCTCTAAGCGGGGCCAGGCAGCAAGCAGTTCAGGGCTTGGGCCCTCAGGCTCCAAACAGTCTTATAACCTAGCTCTGGCAGACAAACGTAGAACTTCTGACTGAAGGTGGGGAGGGAGCCACCCCAGGTGTGGGGATGGCAGGAGGGGGTAGCAGGACCCAGGCCCACTCCACTCCACTGAGTGCCAGCCCAGGGACTAACAGTTGCAGATGGTTCTGCCACTGCGTCAGCAGGTCTCCAGCCAAACCACACTGACCTGGATTCAAGCAACAACGCAACTGGACTAAAGTCTGGTGTCCCTCGGCTACTTCCTACACTCTCCTGGCTGTGTACCCGGGTCTTGGGGTTGTCTCCCTAGGTATTTTGCCAGCAACAATCACAGCAGCCTCCTCAGCATCCTGGTTGGCTGGCAGCTCTGACGATCCTTGTGAGTGCTCAGCACGGTGGAGGTCCATCCTCTTCAGGTTCCTGCTCTAGCAGCAGGTAGAAGGCATCTGTGTACCTCAGAGTCAGTGGCTCCAGCCCAACTGAGCTACGGGACTCACCTTTTATACTTCCTGTCCCACCCTCTGCTTCTAGAGGGGCAGGTGTGGGTGTCCTGGCTCTGCCCACCAAGGGGTTGGGGGGGGTTCCTTCCTGTCTGTCTCAGAGGGAGGCCATGCCCCCTTGCTACAAGAGACCTGTATATCTCGTGCTTTGTGTATGAGTAAAGTGTGTGTGTTTTAGAAGAGCCTGTGCAAAGTGTCTGTGTTACTTACTTTAACTGTCAAAAAGTCATCAGAGTTAAATTAAGGTATCTCCACGGGTGGAGCTCTGGAGAGGGCATATATCAGCTATTGGGGAGATTTGGAGGGTTCTCACTAGTCTTGGAACCTAGGGCAGCTGAGGCATGTGTCCCACATCACAAAGGGTACCAGCATTGGCATCTTTATCCCAGGAGTGGGCCTGAATGGTCAGACACAGATCCAGTGTCTGGATGCTGCTCAGACTCAGTAAACTTGTGTCACGTGCAAGATTTGGGTCTGATACAACAGCATGAGGAGCATCCACAAGGGGAAACTCAGCCAAGGCTGTAACACACATATCTTGATGGCATTATTAGTTATTATTTATAATAATTGATTTTGATGATTCATTTGTGGCAATGATAAAAGAAGAGGTGATTTAAGCAGGACTGAAGGAAGAAAGGGTAGCTGGGGCTTGGTGACCAGACCTGGATGAGTATCTCCTAGAGCTGTATTATGAAAACAAGGCAGTTTGTTACAAACTTGGGTTTGCAATTTTTTCCAGGGAGGCATTTAATAAATAAATCTAATAAAATAAACAGCAACTTACATTATCCATTAAGGGAAGGAAAATCACCGGGGATGGAAAGATTATTTTATGGTTAAAACACAGGAGTGGAAGTTCAGAGAAGAGGTTTTGTTCCACCCTGTGACCTTGGGCAAATCACTATCTCTGTGCTTTGATTTCCTTATGTGTATTCCTTCACAAGATTGTGTGAGGTTTAAGGCATTATTGTTTGGAAAGCATTTTGAAAGTTTAACCAGGGTAAAGGAGATCACAAACAGCTAGATACTATGAAAGTTGTTTAACCACCACAACCTTCTCCATACTCCGATTTGAAAAGGGAAGATGTGATACTGGCTGATAATTAGCAAGACTGTCAATGCATCTCTTAGACAGAACAGGCTGCCTGTTGCTTTCCAGGAAGCAACAGGCAGCCTGTTCTGTCTAAGAGATGCATTGACAATCTCCACAAGTAAGGAACCCAAGACTTCTATACTGGCCTTCAGTAGCCAAGGAGGACATGGCTCCAAAGCACAAGTTGTGGGACAAAATTCTCCCAGCACCTCAGGGAGCATCACTGGCTGAAACTCCAGCCAAGACAACAAAGCTCTTGTTCCCTCAAGACCTTGCTTTGTCACCACAGAAGTGGACAGGGCATCCCTAATCTGATCAATTTGGATTGTAAAATAGCAAGTAATTTCCTTAGAACGGAAGGGACTCAGACAAGCTAGTG